ATCTGAGCAATCTACATACTTGATTAGGCTTTGCACTTTCAAAACCCGGGGGTAGCACCATGTATACTTCTTCGTTTAAGTCTCCGTGCAAAAAAGCGTTATTTATGTCCATCTGATGAATGTGCCAGGTTCTGGACATAGCTGTGGCAAGAAATGTGCGAATAGTGGTTAACCTTGCTACCGGGGAGAATGTCTCCAGGTAATCAACCCCAAGCTGCTGCGTATATCCTTTAGCCACTAGCCGGGCTTTGTGCCATTCAATCGTGCCATTGGCTCGGAGTTTTACTTTGAAAACCCATTTGCATCCAATACGTACCTTCCCCGAAGGTAAGTCTGTGATCTCCCATGTCTTATTCTCTAGAAGTGCATTAATTTCTGCGTTCATTGCTTTCTGCCAACAGTCATGTTGAATAGCTTGCTTGTAAGTTTTTGGTTCATTGGCAGTGGTGACTGCCATGGCAAATGCTCTATGTGAGGGTGCAAGATGATCATAGGTCACAACTTTAGAGAAGAGATGTGGCGAGCTAGAGCACACAGTGTCACAATAATAGTCTTGTAACCTGTTAGGGACTTTGCGTTGCCTGTTAGACCGGCGAGGCTGATCAACAGAGATGTCTGCTGGGCTAATCACGACGTCTTCATGTGCAACAGAGTCATGATTATGAGATGGAATCGGCAGCTGGTGACTGATGCTGCATCCATCACCAGTGTTCTGATTTGACATAGAGTTGTGGAAGCTATGATGATCACTGGGAGAATTTATGTCTAGCAGAGGAGTGCCCTTATCACACCCCTGAAAGCTCATCTCTTCATAACCCATGATGGAAATATTTGGCAGTGAAGGATTATAGGCTTGTTCTTCAGAAATGGCTGACTGGTCATTCTGTTCAGCCATAGGAAATTGGTTCTCGTAGAAGACTACATCACGAGACACCAATGTAGACTCATTGACTAGATCATATAATAAATAACCTTTCACTCCGGCTGGCATTCCAATCAGGACGCACTTCTTGCTTCGAGCATCCATCTTATGGCGAGAGGGAGATAAGTTTGCAGCATAGCATAGGCAACCGAGTACTCTGAGGCTACTGAGATCTGGATCTTGTCCATGTAACCTGTGGTATGGAGTAGACCACCCCAGCACTGCAGATAGTAGTCTATTAATCAGATAAGTAGCATGAATCACACAATGTCCCCAGAATGCAAGGGGGAAATTAGCTTGAAACCGAAGTGCACGAGCCACACTCAAAATATGCTGATGTTTACGTTCAACGATGCCATTTTGTTGAGGGGTGTATGCACAGGACCTCTGATGGATCGTGCCATCCTCAGCAAAGAAGCTTTCCATGTTAAACTCCAGCCCGTTGTCACTTCGTACTGTCTTTATGGGCATGCCAAACTGAGTTTGAATGAGTTTATAAAAATCCTTCATCTGATTGCGTGTTTCTGACTTGCTCTTCATCAACCTTAACCATGTAAACCTTGAATAATCGTCAACTATGGTTAAGAAGTATCTCTCTCCTTGTAGTGACTTAACTTGGAAAGGGCCCCAAATGTCTACATGCACCAAATCAAAGCAAGCACCTGAAGTAGTCTTGCTTACCGGGAAAGGACTCCGTTTGTGTTTTGCAAACTGACACACATCACAAGCCAAATCTCTTTTATTTGAATTAGGAATGTCACAAAGTAAGTGAATCTTATTAAAGGGATAGTGCCCCAAACGTTGATGCCAAAGATCAACACTACACTGCAAGACAAATTGATTACAAGAATTAACAAGAGGTCTACTTAGCATATATAGCCCTTTCTCCTGCTCAGCAAATCTAGTCATCTTCCCATGGTCATTCAGATAACACTGGCCAGATGCAAATATTAGTGAATAGGATGAGTTTTGCAATAACTTGCTTACAGAGACGATATTGAATTTAAATGATCGGATATGCAACACTTCTCTCAACCATATGCCATCAGCTAATTTAATGCTTCCCACATGTTCCACAATAATGTGATCACCATTAGGTAAATTGACCATCATCCCTTGAATAGTATGATATTCATGAAAGAAACTGATAGAGCATGCTATATGATCAGTAGCCCCTGAGTCTAGGATCCATGTTGAGGAAGATAAACTAACAGAGTTAATACAAGATGAGTCAGAACACTTGCCTGCATTGCTGCCCTCAGATTTGTTAAACTTTGGTATGAGAGACACTGCTGCTGTTGTAGTACAAGCTTGGTCTTGTCCCGCTTGGGCTTGAAGGAGTGATATGAGTTTTTGAATTTGGTCAGTGGTAACAATGCCATCAGAGTTCAAGCCAACTGCAGCTGCTTGTTGTTTTCCTTTCGACTTGTAGCCTGGTATCCACCCCGGTGGATATCCATGCTTTTTATAGCATTTTTCGATGGTGTGTCCGGTCATACCACAGAAGACACACTTAGCAGTTTTGTTTCCACCTCCCATATTGAAGTTCTTCTTATTGTTGAAGTGATTAAAAGCTGCAACTGTCTCACCAGTGGAACTCTGAGCAGTTTGTGCTGCGTTTGCATGGCTGATCTCCAAACCTCCAGTACTCAGATTAATGATACTCAGTTGCCTCTCATATTTCTCAGCCATGACGAAGACTTTATGCATCTCAGGTAGCAGATCAAGGACGAGCACACTGGATTTTAGTGAGTTATAGTCCTCGTTGAGACCTTGCAAGAATCAGATGATCTGATCTGTTTCCCGATCTCTTCTGATTTCATCCACCAGATCGCATCTGCATCGAGGCTCACACTTACAGACCGGTAACGGTCTCAATGAGTTCATCTCCTCCCACAACGTACGGCATCTAGTGTAGTAATCGTTCACTAAGAGAGCTCCCTGTTTCAGTTCATTTATATCACTCTGCAAAATTGAGATCCTGTGTGGATCTCGTTGAGAGAACCGTCTTCGGAGATCGTTCCAAATGTCCACGCATTTATCCATATACATCACGCTTTGTGCTATCGTCGGATGAATGGATCGCAAAATCAATGAGCAAGCGATCAGGTTGCACCTCCTCCATGTCGAATACTGAGGATGACTCTTCTCCGGCGTGGCTACGCTTCCGTCGATGAGTCCCCATTTGTTTTTGACCTCAAGTGCTACTCGCATAGAGATACACCAGGATCCATAGATTCCACTGCCTGTGAGCGGAGAACTTACGAGAATCGCATTAGGATTCTCATTAACGCTAAGATATAGAGGATTTTCAGTATCGTCGAAGACATTCCTCTGCGGAATGGAGTTTTGTTGCGGAACGGCTATCGGAGCGCTACGAACTGGAGCTTGGCTGTTCGGCGCTCCCTGGTTGGATTCTCCGGTGGCGGAGAGTACGGCAGCGTAGCTGGCTGGCCGCTGCTCTGATACCATTTCGGATTTAGAGTGTTAACATGGAAGAGAGATGAGAGAGCTGAATATAGGTGGAGAGAGTTGAGGGTGGTAACTGTTTCATCAGTCTGTTATGAAGAGCAAACACATAATATATACAGAAGGAGGAAGGCGGGAAAGGGAGTTGTAACAACTTAACAATCATTTACAATAAAGTCCTTGGCTCTCGTTCTTCTGTTCATCCGATCCCCTGCTATGTGTCAACAATGACTACTTTGTGTCCTAGTCATATTTTTAGTGACCAAAATTAAAAGTTTTCAATTTTTAAAGTGATTATTTTTGTCCAACTATATCTTAAGTGTAAAAGGAAAATATTTTTATTTATGGGAAATTTTGCACTGCTATCCGAATATACGCACTAGGTGAAATATGACTTTAACTGAAAAAATGATATAAATTAGCCTAAGTTGTGCATAATTGGTTGAAAGACAATTATTTTCATCCACTTGATACTTTGGCGACTAAGAGATACAGTACTTACAACAACATGCAAATTGAATTAACGATTAAAATTTCACTTAATTTATATCTTAGCTAGAGAAAACATATCGAACATATACTACACTTTGTGCTTCGTTGGAGGGGGGGGGGGGGGGGGGGGGAGTGAAGATCAAATTGTCCTCCCTCTAATAATTGTACATCGTTTCCTAAAAATTACAATTACACAAAAATTTTGGTCTTTGTACTATTATATTCCTTTTCAATATTCTCATATATATCAAACAATATAATTGAAATTATCAATAATTTTGTTTTAGTCTCACTGACTGGTTTTTTAAACCTTAAAACTACAATCCAGTAGGATAGGATGTTCACGTTTTACTAATGACTGTCTTGTCTTTGTTTTATAGAAAAATAAAATAAAATAAAATAAAATAAAAGTAGTACTTCGTATCAAATTGACTTCCTAAGTGTAAGAAATAATACAATTATGACATGACAACTTGCTATTTACCTCATTTAGTGGCTCTTGAGCAGTGATTCTGAGACTTTGGATTAATCTGACGTAAGTTAGAAAACTCAATGTTTCAGATGGCATGTAGTGACCTCCCCTATGGGAGATCATGAGATCGAGCCTCAGTGAAAGCATTGTTAACTCTGTATGTTTTATTAGGTTGGAAAAATATATTTGAACAGATGCTACAATGTAATAGAGTCAATAACATTTTAAAAAATTTCTTAATTGAGAAAAAAAGCTCAAACGAGGCTCCTTACATTTGTAAAATAGTGCAATTAAGTTATAAAGTTATGTATTTAGCAGTTTGTCATTGATGTGACAGTGACAATATTAAAATGTAGCATCTCAATGTATGCTTACATGGATTTTAAGTGTACAAATTTTATTTTTAAATTAAAACAATCATTGATTATCAATGAGAATCGGAGGTTATTCTAGATTTTAAAAAGAGAGCCGTAACTACTTTAGTCTCAAAGGAACAATGGTAGTTGCGCCGATGATAACTGTTATTAATTGTATTAACAGTAATAATTACAAGAGTACAGATTCTAGTTATATATAAAAGAGGAGACCGAGGGAGATTAGGATTGTAAATCATAGGGAGACTAGGATTGTGAATCATAATATAACTTAAATATATAGAGTCTTAATACTCCCATCAAGCACAGGATACATACGTGACCAGTAGATTGCATTGTCTCTAAGAAAAGAAAACCTAAGACCTACTAAAGCTTTTGTAAATATATTAGCAAGTTGATCTTTGGTGGAGATAAAGTTGACTTGAATCTCTCCCTTAGCAACTCTGTCTCTCACAAAATGATAGTCAATCTCAACATGTTTAGTGCGAGCATCAGCAAGTTGATCTTTGGTGGAGATAAAGTTGACTTGAATCTCTCCCTTGGCAACTCTGTCTCTCACAAAATGATAGTTAATCTGAACATGTTTAGTGCGAGCATGAAAAACGGGATTAGCACATAGATAGGTAGCACCAAGGTTAACACACCACAGCTTGGGAACAGAGATCGCAGTCACGCCAATCTCTCGTAAGAGGGAGAGAACCCAGATTACCTCAGCACAAACATCAGCTAAACCTTTGTATTCAACCTCTATAGAAGATCTAGCCACAGTTCTTTGCTTCATGCACACCCAATACACAAGATTTGATCCAAGAAAAACAGCATAACCACTGGTTGACTTACGATCCTCAGGACAACCAGCCCAGTCTGAGTCAGAGAAGGCATGCAATTCTCTAGACTCAGATTTTCGGATACGTAAACCATAAGATAGAGTCTCTTTGACATACCTTAACACATGCTTGATTTGTTCCCAATAAGTGATCGTAGGAGCATGCATATGTTGACAAAGTTGGTTAATTGCAAGGGATAAATTTGGTCTAGTGATAGTAAGATACTGAAGAACTCCAGCGAGGCACCAATATTGCGTAGGATCATCATATAAATCTGTAGTGTGAGAAAGAGATTTCGAAAGAGGTATTAGGGTGGACAGAGGTTTGCAATCAGTCATACTAGCACGTTTCAAAATATCAAGCATATACTGTTGCTGAGATAGAAGCTAAGGATCCCATCACTGCACTTAACGGTTTCAATACCAAGTAAGAAACCTCGTTCACCAAGATCCCTAATCTTGAAAGTAGTAGACAATTTTGACAGTAAATAACTAACAAGATTCAGATCACTTCCCATTACCAGAATGTCATCAACATAAACTAGAAGGATAAACATAAGTAGAATTCTAGGAGTAACAAAATAGTGACATCTATTTTTGATGCCTGAAATCCAACAGACAATAAAAACGTATGAAGGCGGTTAAACCAAGCTCTCGGAGCTTGTTTTAACCCATACAAGGATCTCTGCAACAAACAGACATGATTAGGAAATTGAGTGTAAACGGGAATTAAAAACGCCTGAGTGTCGAACTCAAAGATGGCAAGTCGGAGCAAGTGAAATGCAAGACAATTAGGTGTCACAATGTCTCAACAAGAGTGAACTAGGTGCTAGATGGGGATGGCAAGGAAACAGGGATGCAAGCATAAGAAATCAAGAAATAAAAGAAAACACACAAGTAGACGGGGATTTGGATGGAAAGGATTTGTGATCATGCATTCACTGGTCTTTAACTTGGGACAAGGGATGATGCAAAGCTTGCCTAACCTAAGGAAGAACCAAGGCACCAACATTAGGTGGCGTCACACCTAAACTCGCATTCCCTACGTCGGGTGAGGCATTCTATCAAACACTTAGTGGGTGGTCTACCGTCTCCTCCCCTAAGCTCGCCCTCTCAGATCGTAGGAAGGGGATTGCAAGGGCAAGACTAAGGAGAGTGCAATCTCTTGATAAACTCCCACTCTCACACTCATCCTACAATGAGAAGAGATCAATATGCACATCTCTACAACAAAGGCATTTAAGGACAATCCATACATCAAATCTCATCATATAAACCATACTAAACATGAATACATAATCTACAAATCAAATCAAATCCAAATCCGAGCAATCTAAGCACTCATCATCATTACAAGGATAACAAAACACAAATTAAATATGAAATAATAAACAAGGAAGAACGGTTACCTAAGTCTTCAATCTATTGTGTAAGAATCCAAGGAGAATTTGTAGAACAATAAGTGTAGATCTTCAAGGAAATGTAAATCTAACATAACCCTAATCTAACCTAATCTAAGAGTGTTGAATTGAAAGGTGAGGAAATGGGGAAAAATATTTCTCCTAAAACAATCCCCTTACAAGCCTGTAAATAGCCCTAGAATCTGAAATTTCATTTAACTGTCCCGTCCAAGCACGCTGCAGCGCACGTTGCGAGCTGCATGGAACTTTCTGGAAATTTCATCCAAAATGAAAGTTGTAGCCCTTGAAAATCCCGAACCATAGCCACTTAAATCACCTCATTTGGACACTCCTAGCTCAATATATGATCATTTTACCGAACTGTCGCCAGAATGCCCTGAAAATGACAATGTTTTGCTATTTTTCTACAAATGCAATAGAATTAGCCCTTAATCCTAATTTCTATAAAATTAAGCTAATTAAGCATGAATTAAGCATAAAGGACTCTAATTATAGAACAATTAGCCTATGAAACACCCTATAAAACATATCATCTTTGGCACTTATCATGTATCCAGGAGGTTGTCGCATATAAACAATTTCAGTCAAATTACCATTGAAAAAAACATTATGAACATCTAGCTGTCTCACAGTCCAATCAGAGGATAAAGTGATGCGTAGTATATTTGTAAACAAATAATACCCGGAGTATCGGTTAATCGATCCATAGGGAAGTGGTTGTATTAAGCACTGACTACTAAATTATTTTATGAAGCTAATCCTAACGATTGATTGGATGATTGATTGCATAAAATAAATAAAGTAAAGCAATGATTCAGGGGTTTCGAAAACAATGGGGAAAGACTGAGATTCCAGGGATTTAAGTGTTTATTCCCCTAGTGCCTAACCAAATGTAATATTAAATCTGGGTTCATACGAGTGTGAGGATGCAAAGCGGTTAGAGCTACTCCCGATGTAACACCTCAGATTTTCAAGACATTTAAAACTTATAAAATAAAGGTGAAATCTCATTAGATCCCAAAACATAATACAAGAGTACGGGGTGCTATGCCACACCTGAGCTAGAGAACTCAGGTGCACAGGCTAACTAACTAATATCCTCAATAACGTAAATGCATAAGCATGGCATGCAGGCCGAAAGGGAAACTATCTACTTCTACGCTCCAAGTTTTAGCGTGCTCCAGTGACTTATTCTTCTGTGCCTGAAAGCTAAATATATCTGTTCAGCGAGAGATGCTGGTAACCCACTCCAACGCGTTGAAATACAATACATATAGTTATATACATAGATATACGAAAAGTCATTTCGAAGCATGAAGATATATCCTAAGAGACTCTAGCTTTCAAATCAGGGAACCGACTCGACAAATAGGGGTACACACAATCAACAGTCATAATCAAGCATATACAATTCTCACATAGGGCACAGTTATAGATAAGCACAACCAATAATCACAATTAAGCATTACTAGTAAGAGCCCTATGGTCACGTTTCCATAACAGTCGTATCATCAATTCTTCTAATCTCATCACATAGCACACTTTGTTGGCGCCACAGGACCAATCGCATGCCCATACATGAGGGTCAGCGCATATAGCTCTGACACGGCCCCGCAGCACCCTGCCCCGTCTCACAATACGGAGGGGTCGATCGCAATCGACCGATGAACCGCAACTCTATATAATATTTATATACTTGACCGGTCTTTACCAGCCTGGTTAACAGTTGGGATGGTTCTCAACCCATTCAACTGCCCGTATAGTGGACCTCTGTCCTATATAATATTTATATACCTGACCGGTCTCTACCAGCCTGGTTAACAGTTGGGATGGTTCTCAACCCATTCAACTGCCCGTATAGTGGACCTTTATCCTATATAATATTTATATACCTGACCGGTCTCTACCAGCCTGGTTAACAGCCGGTATGGTTCTCAGCCCATCCGACTGCCCGTATAGCCCGATTGATCTCAACCAAATCGGGGTAACATGCACACATAACACATAGCAAGCACATGCAACCCATATTAACACATTGGGAAGGGGGAAACGTATAACGAAACCTATACGCGATCCTTCACATGCTAAGAATAATCCTAAGGGGTTCATGCTTCTTTCACCTAGGTCAACGGGATACCAATTCAACTAACATACAATATATAAGACTCATACAACCTACGAACGGTACCCAAAATATCAAACTAGACATAGGCACGATAGACGGAGTCCGTTGGGACACCACGGGGGTCAAGGGACATCAAACGGGGAAGCCGAAATCTCGGGTTGGGGTATTTTCCAGCGGGTAGCCGGTGGGTACTGTTCTGGGCAGCGGGTGCCCGGCGGGCAGCTGCCCGCCCGCCGGCTGCCCGCTGCCGGAGCTGCCCTTCTTGGCCGCGGGTAGGTGGCGGGTCCCCTACCCCCACCTACCCCCCACTGACTCTTTTTCACCAAAAACGCCCCGGGAACCTTTGTGGAACCCGGAACCATGCTTAGACACTTTCAAACGCAATTGACAACAACACGTAGACAATTAACGGATCGAAATCAAGAAACATACGGCACATATCCTAACATGCTTTTCTAAACATAATTAACACCCAATCATGCGAATTTCCGCCCAATACATCAAGAGTACCACCATACGAGTTTCACGATACAACCTAGGGTTCTAATTACTTTTAAATCAACAAGAACACAATTCTTCTCCTAATATCAAGATTCGGTAGGAATATCACATAAACATCAAGAACATCATGCCATTATCAAGAACATCATGTAATCATCAAGAACGCCACATATTCATCAAGAACACCATAATTATCAAGAACCTATCATCGTCAAGATCATCAAGAACATCAATGGAATCATAACACCAATTATCAATATAACGAATCATCAACACACAATAATATGGGAAATCCTAAGGGGGAATCATAGCTATGAAAATAGGTTTTGTTGAGACATGGGTTACCTCTTAGCCTTAATTAATTCCTTGGCTATGAAGGGTCTTTCTTTAAGCTTTCTTCTTTCTTGATTTCTCATAAGGGGATTCTTGGAACTTCTTGTGTGGTGAGAGATTATGGTGGTGAAAGATCTAGGTGCCTTCTATATCCCTATTTATATATTTAAGACTCCTAATTAGGGCCTGAATGGTATGGGTTTACTAATTCTATTCCTTATAGGACTAAGGACTTGTTTTAGGGATAAAGGGTCCATGGTCCATAGTGGACCATATTAATTAATTAAAGAGAAACCTAACCGAATTAAATCATATTTAATTATTATTAACGGGATTAATTAAATAATTAATCCGGGATTGAAGGCCGTAACACGGGGTGTTACACCCTTAGTCACTAACACTGGTGAATATCCACTCCCATGCGATAATCACCCAATAAAACCAGAACAAGCATCATAAATTCCTAATTAAGTTTCAACAGCTAGGTTGGAAACATTGAGTTTTTACTTTAAGATTGGAAACAAATGTTTGTATCAACAAAAACCTTTATGGTTCTGGTGTTTTGTTGGATACACTATACTGTTTCAATCTTAATGATGACTTTGTTAATTCCTTGTTTAATGTGATGTTTGTGTTAAAAGGAGTGCGCCAAAAGAATCTCCAGCTGACTTGTGGCATAAAAGGCTTAGTCATATATCCAAAGAAAGGATATTGAGACTTATTAAAGTTGGAATTTTGTCTCAATTGGATTTTACTGACTGGAATGGTGCATGTGTCGATTGCATAAAGGTAAAGCAAGTCAGACATGTATCAGTACACTCAGCCACAAGAAGCTCATGATTACTTGATTTAATACATACAAATATCTGTGGTCCCTTTTGATGTTCCGTCTTGGGGCGGTGAGAAGTACTTTATTACCTTTATTGATGATCATTCTAGGTACTGTTACATCTATTTAC